TGTGTGAATGAGTCAGGGTGAGGCCAGAACCTGTGGGTCACAGGAGGAACGGTAGACGTGAATGAACCCACGTCTTCTCACAGGGAGACCTCACAGACATTGCATGTCACCTGGGTCTACAGACACAGATCCAGGCAAATGAGCCCATAAAAGCATGCACAGCATGGGGTAAATGAGAAGATGGAACTCAGCTCATGCATCTAGAGCTGCTTCACAACAAACAGCAAAGGGAAGTAAAAAGAGGTGCTTCTCATCTCTCCTTTCTGGCATGCTCTGTGTAAGTCAAAGCACAGTAAGAGATACTGTAATAAAGCAATATGATTTTTGAAGCAAACATTTGAGGTGTAAAGCATCTACCTCTGTGTTTTTCCTTTTAAAATATCCATTTAGGAGACTCAAGGTAGGGTCATTGTTAAAAATACTTTTTAAAGTTCTTTATTTTTTTTAGAACTAACCAAAGATGCTTTTTAAAACCACAATAGAGTGCAAATATTTGACTGATAAAGATCAGTTTGGCTTTGGGAATGGGTCAAATTGATAGAATTAAGTAAGGAGGAGAGTGTGAAAAGTGATCAGGTCAAGTTGCTCCATGTTGAGTGAAATACAAATAGATGCCATTGGTTTATGTAGATTAGAAAGGTGAACTAACCCACCACCTTTGGGACACACACCTTGGGAAGATATGCATCCTGGCATTGCCAAGAAATTAGTAACATTTCTCAAAAAAGATGACTGAAATTCAACAGGAATATAGTGCAAGAAAAACAGCATAAACCTCTAACACCGTGTTAACTACCCCTGTTTGTTTTCTTGTGTAACTTTAGCTGTCTTAATTGTCTGTGGCTCTCCATGAGCTGGAGGAAAAAAGGTCCCTTCCCAAAAAGTTACATGGACTACTCTTGCAGGTTTTATATTTGATGAAATAAGGAAGAGGACAGGAAAGATGGTAAGCACCAGTGAAACAGTGAGTCTGCTCTCTGTGGCCAGCAGGGCCCTCGATAGAGCCTCTGCTAACTATCACCAAGGTTAACAGCATCAGTTCTGGAGTCAGGCAAACCTGGCTTTAAATCCTGGCCCTGCCACCTGGTAGCTGTGTGATCTTGGGCAAGTCACTTGGACTGCCTGCCCCTCCGGTGCCTTTCTTCTGGAGCACAGTGTTGCCCTTTGGTGTAAAAACTCAATTATAGTCTATTGCCCTTGGGTTAAACGCTACATCCTAGCCACACTGAGATTTTTCTGCTCCTCCAAACACATTGGCTTTACATGTATGGCTTCTTCTTCTCCTCCCTCTTCTATGTCTTGCTATTAAAATACAAAAAGCCAGTGAACTGTCTCAAATGGACGTAACCATCTGACCTGTGCCCAGATTAAGAATCTGAATATGTCTGGTATTCTGGAAGCTTTCCTCATGCCCCTTTTCACTTTCCCCTCCCCCCCCAAAGGAGATCACTGCCCTCATATCTGTACCATAGACAACTTTTCTTACTTTGTACTCTGTCGGTAAAAACATACAGAATAGTTGCAGATACTGCTGCTGCCTAGCAAACTTCATGGTCTAAAAGAACCTAAAATCCTCACCTGCCTTCATCATTGCAGCTGTGCTCTCTGACATCTGCTTCATCTTCAAGCCTCTCAAAAAGACCTACATTCCGTGGCCATCTTCCTCTCCTCCCTGTCACTGGTCTGTGTGCTGCACCATCCCTATCATTCTACTGAAACTGCTGTTATCCGAGGACACTGGTGATTCTTCGTTGTGAGACCAAATGAGCATTTTCAGTCTTTTCCTACTTGACACTTGTAAAATGAACCACCATCTTACAGCGACTCTCCCTCTTTGGCCAATTGTGTGTTTGTTCTGTGGGTCTCCACCCATTATCTCCCACCTGGATTCATCCTACAGCCTCCCTGCCCCAAGCTGCTCTTTCAAAATCACTACTCTTACCTGTCATCACTGGTTGCCAACCTGGGGAGGCTCCCTGCCTGCAATAAAATAAATTGTAAGCTATCAATATAGCAAAGCAGGAACACTTTCTAGCCTGCTGCCCCAACCTGCTTTCCCAGACTCTGGCTAACACATGTCTTGTGTCTCGGCCTCATTGAATCTGCTATGTTTTGACCTTTCCGTAGGTGGTTCTCTTTAGCCTGGAATGTCTCGCTTCCCATTTTTCCTACAAATCTACTTGTCCTTCACATCAACTCTCTGATACCATTTCCTCTACTAGACCATGCTGGTAGAAGCTCCTTTTCTGAGCTTGTTCTGGCTACTGTAATATTAATACTAATAAACACCATTATTATAATACACTTGACTTGCTCCGAATATAACTCCTCAGGGTAGGGTCTTATTGCCTACTACATCCTAGGCACACAGTGAACGAATGGTTAACATTTATTGAGCATTTACTATGTCAGGAGCTTTCATGAATTATCTCATTCCATTCTCACCACAGCCCTATGAGGAAGGAACTGTTTTTTATCCCAATTTTGAGAGGAAACTGAAGCTTAAAGAGATTAACTAACTTGCTCAAGGTCACACAGTTGATATGTGGCAAAGCTAGGACTTGACCCCTGATTTGTTCAGGTTTGAAATATCCTCACCCTACCTCCAAAGTTGGTCTTCAGGGGTACTTTGCATAAAACTCTATCATAGGTTACAGTAGGTGTTGAGCAAATGGAACCGTTGTCCTGGGAGTAGTGAAAAGATTTCTTTACATATTCCCTCTCTTCATTACACCATGTATTTCTTAAGAAGAGGAACTGAATGCTCATTTTACTGCCACCAACACCCAGACTCCAAGCAACCGACACAGTGACTTACACAATCTTTGTGTTCACTAAATGTTTGTTGAAAAAAATAAGGGGTGTGCTGTTAAGAAACAGACTTGGGCTGTAAATCTTTTTGCACTATCAGTGCTTTTGAGCACTGTCCTGGTGTTGCAGAATCCAGCCTCACCGCTGCCTCTTCTAACCCTTTGCTCCTCAGCGGGGCCATCCCTGGCTGACCCACGCTCCACCCTGACCCCAGCCTTGCCATCCTTCCTGTCCCCGTGAAATTCCTCTGCTTGCCTTCCTGCTGTAGTGGCCTGATCACACTAAGCAAGCTCTGCCCCACCCTCTCCTCCTCTTAACCCCATGCTCCACTGAATCTGACTGCTTCCCTGGTCATTCTTGTCGGGCAGGGCAACATGACATTTATGGAGATAATTTGAACACAGTGGGGATTGTGATAAACAGGGAGTCACGAGTCACTGTAGCAATTATGAAAAGGAGGAAATTCCTAATGAAATAATGGAAGAACTGAAAGTGAGTTGTCACTGTCTTTTTCATGCCCTTATCAGTTGTTTTTTTTAATAAAGAGTTAAGCTTATCTAGGTTTGTCAATTATTTAAGACTGTTGATTGCAAGTAATAGAAGCTAGAGTAATTTGAGCAAAAGGGCATATTTATGATTACAAGGATACAGAGTCTCTAAGAATCCAAAGGTTGGAATGCCGCCAGGTGTGAGTACTGGAAATAGGACCAGAAAATAGCCTGGGATGTGAGCAGCATTCTCCTCCCGTGTCTCGGCCTTGCTGTCTCTGTACATCTGCCTTTTTCTTTTCTCTGTGTGAACCTCCTTTAGTTCACAGACTAAAGGCTGGTAGGACTACTGAGTGTATACTTGGTGGGAGTGGTTGCCCCATTAAAATTACAAATTCCCAAGGAAATTTACCTGATTGGCCCAAGATGACCCAGATGCCTGCCCCTGGTACAATCAGCAGCCACTAACAGAACAGAATGATGTTGTTCAATATGGCTTCCAGGTGCCCACCTCTATGTAAGAGAAAGAAGAAGAAAGGATCTTTGTAAATTATGCAGATTCTCCAAAAATGCCTGTTAAATTTGGCTTTTGGGTTATAGTTGTCTTGTAAGAGAATTTCAGGTGCTTTTCCAGGAATAGAACAAATTAAGGGGCTTCATTACTTCAAGATTCTCAGAAACAAATACATAAATATGAATTACCATTTGCCACACCCTAGTTAACTAATGCAATATCCCACTGGTAATTCTTTTTTTTTTTTTTTAAAGATTTATTTATTTGTGTATACAGAACTGGGGTACAGGCCAGAGGCTCAGGGGCAGTGAGAGGATTCACCAGAGACAGAATGGGAAATAGAACAGGCAGATCGACGAAGTACACTGCTGAGGGGAGCAGCGGGCGGGTCAGGAGAGGTCTGCCACGCCATGTGGTCACCTCCGGGGCAGGCGGGAATCGAACTCATGAGGAAGTGGCTTTAGCTTCTCAGTGCTGTGCTTTAACCCACTGCGCCACCAGGGAGGGCCCCACTGGTAATTCTTAATGGGTGTTTTATGTCAATATTGTTCATCAAAGGCCAAGGATCCTGGCTTCAACCAGGTGCCTCAGACTACAGCAACAAGGATGAATTAGGCTGTGTATTGTCTTTTCTCAGAAGCTTCCACAAATGATGTCCTTTCCACAAATGAGAGAACCAGAGTTCTCTCTTTCTAATAAGTCAATGTAATGAGGTCTGAGAAGACAGACTCCTTCCCTTCTGAGGGGTGAACATGTCACAAGTTTTGAGAGCACTAACCTTGACCACTGCTTCTTCATGTGGTTTGAGGTTGGGAAAGAAGGTGCTGGGATAGCTCGTTCTTTCATTCTGCTCTGGCCTTGCCAATTCAGTGATTGATCAGCCCAAGCCTGGGTAAGGGTAACCTGAAAACTTTACTCAACTCGGAAGTGGGACTGCTGGCATTAGGTTGGCCCAGGCAGTTTCAAACCTCACGTCCATTCTTGCTGGACCTAGCCCTCTGGGTATGATCATGGGCTGTGGCTCACCACGAGGGAGGTCACTTGCCGTGGGTCTTCAGAATGGGTGCACGTCTCAGCTGTGAGCAGGTGGGGCCAGAACCCTGTGCTGGAAAATGACTCTTCTCCTCCAAGACATGCTGCAGTCTCCCTGCACCTTTTCAGTGACAGCATCCTGGTTTGTCTTCCAGGCTCCCTGGGTACAGCAGGCCGTGTGTGCAACCTGACTTCCCGAGGCATGGACAGCTGTGAGGTCATGTGCTGTGGGAGAGGCTATGACACTTCCCGGGTCACCCGGATGACCAAGTGTGAGTGTAAGTTCCACTGGTGCTGTGCTGTGCGCTGTCAGGACTGCCTGGAGGCTCTGGATGTGCACACGTGCAAGGCCCCCAAGAATGCCGATTGGGCAGCTCCCACATGACCCCAGCGGAGGTCACCTTTCACCTTCCCTCTGCCAACGAATCCATTGGATCTGCAAGAACACTGGGCCTTTGGGTTCTCTCGGGGTGATCGTTCCAAGGCATGTGACCTTTGTCTCAATAAAAGCCCCTTCTCCCTCCCTCAGGGCCCAGGTCTAGAGCCACATGTTATACACAAAGCATGCCCAATTCTCTCTGACTTCCAGCATTTTGGAGTACATTTCTTCTGGTCATGACAAGGCTGTTAGAGGACATGGAGATATGGGTCTTGATCAATGTCTCCATCTAGAAGTCTCCTTTTTGTAGAGCAGTTGACCAGAGGGAGTAAGAGTATCTCAAAAGAACCTTCTGTGTCTTACTACAAATGTGCACAAATAAGAAATTCCATACTTCCATGTGGAGGGAAAAGTAAAGAAAGCAAACACAACTGCCATTGAATTAACTTTTATTCCTGAAAAGACCAAGCAAAGCTTATGCCTTATCAAGTGATCTTCACAGCCATTACCTCCTGGGGTAATTAGTCATTGCCTAAAGAAGGATGGCTTTCAATAAATTTTAAGTTTAAAACACATTTTTTTCCAGGCATTTATTACCATATTAAAAGCTGATTATCATATTAAAATCTGATGTGAGAAGGCATAATTGTTATCCTTTGGTATAATTTTGAAACTTTGAAAAAACAAAAATCTCAGAAAATGGTTGCTTTGCATTACTGCCCCCTCGAGAAAATAACCTGGAGAAATGAATAAGACTTTCTCTCACTTAGGAGCTGGAGGGCATTAAAAGGAAGATTTATTATCTGGCAGGATTCTGTAACTATTGGGTGAAAGTAGAGGAAAATAACTTAGTGAGTGGAATATTAGAAAATGTGTCTGTACAGATAAGAAAAAAAGGAAGGAATAAAATTTCTGTCTGGTATAATGCAGGTGGCCCATGGAATTTTGTAACTGAAATGGTTTTGGGAATGCAAACTTTGAGGTTGACAAGACCAGAGGACCAAAATGCTGACAGAGATCTTTCCAGAGCTAAGTTGTGGCCAGCCTTTACCCATCAGCAGATGCCTGAAATCAGTTGGCCACGTGTGCAGGCGAATCTCTGCTGGTACCCATCACCCTTCCAGCACCTCTGAGGCTTCAGGATGACAAGATACCATAGCCTAAAGCAAATGACACATGGCTTTGTGTGTAAAGTTAGTAACCCGGGCATATTATGTTACAAACAAATCTTAACTTGGAGATTACATTTAAGGGTCCTAGCTGTAATTATGGGAGCATCAATATGTAAATTGTGGTCAGCTCCTGCCACAAGCGAAACATCCAGGGAAATTGAAGAGGCTGCCTGGCCCACTTTGCAAATTAATGAAAGAAAGGTGAAGTTGATGAAGCTACTTCTCATCCTCTCTTACACTTAGGTTGGTGTTCTAAACAGAACTGTTCACAAAACTCCATTAGCTCACAGGACATTTCAATACAAACTTCTGATGTCCAACTGTTGACGCTTGCTCATTTTGATTCTTTGACCTCTATTCTTGCTTTACATTAGGACATCTAGACTGAGATCAGTGGGAAAAGCCTGCTGGAGCATCTCATCGTGATCAATATGTGCACCCTTGTCCTCTTAAAAAACGACAGGATTCTCCTTTCCTCCATTTTGAACTCCAAAATGGGTTAGCTGATGTTTCCTAAGTGGCTCTTTCCTCTTTTGAATCTATGGAGCAAGAGAGTGGGGGCAACTTGGGATGGTGAGAAGATCAGAACTGTGGGCTCAGTTTAGTCACACCAAAGCCTGCTGTGATGAAGGGGCTTTCTCAGTGGTTCCAGGCCCTCAAACTCTTCTTCCTTCTGGGAGAACTGTGAAATCATGAGTCCATGGATGTATTTAGACTTGGAAAGGCTTTTAAGGGACACCTCAACTCCCCCTAATTTGCTTCCAGGGGAACTGAGTCCAAGAAAGGTGAAAGAATCTCCACAGATACCACCGTTACCCCAGCGCTCCATTAAATAGGACTGTGGACCAAAAGTACCTGAGAAAATTAGCACTTTAGCTATTAAATGAAATTAGTTGGTCTCAGAATTAATTTGGTGGAACCTAAATAATTTTAGCATTCTAAGGGGATATTCATTATTGGCTTTTCTTTCACCCCTGAGATGACCTAACTTTTTACACTTAAGTGGTCCTTTCTGATAAGAAACAAGGGGGCAAGCCACAGCCATATAGAAATGTGCATACATTGCCCTGCAGGTAAGGGAGACCCCCAGCTCAAGTGGCAGTGGGTGAGCCTTTGAAGGAGCAAAATAAGAAAGTCAGATACTTTTATCTGCTTTTACTTCTAAAAGAGAAAATCTTCATTATTTGAAAAAAAAAATTGTGAAAACAGGCGAAATCATTTGAAACTCATTTTCCTTAGGATTTGATAGAGGATCAGTATCTGACTATCCTAATATAGGCTAAACCTTCATTATCTGAGAACTCAAGGAACTGTATAGCACAAGCTACTTAAAACAGAATAATGAGAGTCTACTCCAGTGAGACATCCTCACAAATTCCCCCAATAACAATCTTACAAAGTTTTCTAGTCCAAGATGACACTTTATTTTCTACAAAATCTGAAATATCCCTACACAATAGAAGATCTTGACTGTTCTGCTGAAATTTCCTACAATAAAAATGTAATCTGCACATGCCTGAGACTTAGCAAATGGGTTGTTTTCTTCAATAGTTTTGCACAGACCACAAACTGGTCTGTGATGCTGACGGATCTCCTCTGTATTCTGTGAACACACTTTGTCAGAGGTCTTTCTCATTACAGTAGACTGGACAGCCCCTCTCACTCTGGAAGACTTAACACCCTGCCATGAGAGACATTCTATCCCCTCAGACGGCTTCCGCTCAAGCACAAAATCCCCATGCTCAGCTCAGTGATGGGGCCCTGGCATGTTACTTGAAACAGATGCTTCGGGACAGAAGTGGCAGAGACATAGGGCACCCCAGGACACTGGCTCTCTGCTCTTCTTTTATATGGGTGTTACCAGATTGAAACAAACAACCTAGTGGAGCAATGAAATGGCAATTTAGTCTCCACAGGGTCAGGTAATGGGAGGAGGAGCGAGGGAAAGTGTTGCAGAACCCTTCTCAAAAACCCAGGTGAGGTTGCGAGGTGAGGTGGCGAGTCACTTTTTCAGCTCTATTGGTAACCTCTACTCTTCCTTCAGCTTCTGCTTTCCTGTCCCCTCCCAGCTCCTACTTCCAGAGGAGGCCCAGAGGCCCAGGCATTGTCCAGAACCTGCAGCCCCATTGTGTATCTCTACTAGAGGCAGCCAACTTTCTTACGAGGGGTTTCCAATTGTCAGAACCATATTCCTTTATACTGGAAACGTTACAAAGCTTAAAAAACCTACATTTCCTTTTTAAAAGAGGTATTTTTACAGTCAGAAAATCCAGCTTCACATGGACATTTTTTGGCCTTATTAACTTATTAAGGAATCTTACATCAACTCTACAAGAGCTAAAGCAGTTCTCTCACTCGGAAGCAGCCAACATGACCAAGCATGTGCTTGGACTTGATGGCATTTTCAGGCCTGGATATTGTTATTACTTCTCCTTTATTAAAGGTTGGCTCGGGGCTGGTGTTGTCTCGCTCAGCTGAAGAACATTCACCTCCCCACTTGCCTGCTCTCAAAATAAAGGCTCAGAGAGGCGTCCAGTGGACCAGAACCACTCTTTTGTGTCTATTTACCGCACTTCAACCTGGGTTTCCTTATCCTAAGAGCAAGGGTTGTTCTCTTAACAAATAGATCTCACCAGTTCCAAAGCTGGTAAACTGCTTCTGTCAGGCCTGTGCTGACCTTCTGCAAAGCAATCCGCTGGGGTAAGCTGACAGCTAAGTCGTGCTTATTTTGACCTTCTCCTTACCTAGGCAGAGAAAATTCTCACTCATCCATGAGAATGTGCTTTACATTTTTCTAAGGATCAGTGAGGTGACAGGTAGTTTGTAAAGCCAAACATGATCATTATTTTTCTAAATCATAGTTGTTTCAGTTCTAGTTTTTTTTTCTAATATTCACATGGATTCCTGTTTAACCAAACCTCCCACTTCCACAAGCTAATAAATGTGTCACGCAGATTGTTACAAAGAACTATTGTTATTTACAAGTCTACATTTTCTGTGAAATCAAAACATAATAAAGTGAATTTTCAGTGCTGACTTTGTTATTTTAAATGTCTTGCCAAACCCTCTGGTGAAAAGAAATCCCTGCAGGTTATGGGAACTATTCCCTTGTCCTTTCTCAGGACCACATTTAATACAACTTGATCAAGAGGTGTCTTTCAAGACTGTAAAGATTTTCAGGAACGTCAACTGACTTATCTTACTGTAACTATTCTTATAAGTTCATGGGTAAGACATTCTGAACTGAGAAATGACTCCATATTTCCACCCTGTGTTCTCCTGTGGTCACCATGGAACTGCTTGCCCCTGTTGGTGCCAGCATACTTTTGTGGTGTTTGTTAATTCAATATCTCTCTGCAGCAACCAGTTGCCCCCCTCCATTGACTTTTCTGAATTATTGCTTTCCACATAAGTACTTGTTCATGCCTGAAATGGCATTTTCTCAGCCTGTCTAGAAATACAGTATCGCTTGATTCAACATTGAAATATTTGTATCCTAATTGTGTGTGCTACTTATATACAAGCAACAAAAATGGAAATCAAATCTTCCCCCAGCAAAAGAAATCCATGCACCCTCTTTTCTTTTGCCCAGTGAATTATGTTTTGGGGTGACCTGACTGAGCAGTTCAGTACCCCCAAGATGGCCCCATAGTCAGGAAGCTTGCTATCCCTCTAACACTCCATCATTCTTTCTAGAACTATTTCACTTGGATGATCTGAAGACGATATGGTAACATATCTCTCTGTGTTCTTCAAAGGACATTTTCCTTCAAGTGTTTTTGCCTAGATATTGTCAATGAAATTTCCCTATTATCTAATCCTTTGTGAAAGCTGTTCTGTGCATTTGTAGAGTCTTTAGAAGAAGTCCTGGTCCCTAGCCACTAATCACTAGGAACATCTTCTCTGCTCCCCAATTGTTACAACCAAAAGTGTCTCCAGACATAAAATCCCCAGTGGGGAAGGGTAATAGTGAAACTGTTTCTGGTTGGGATTCAGTGATCTAACACTTGGGGTAAGTACTCTATTGAAATAAAAGCCTTATATTTTCCTGTCATTTTCAGTTTAGGAACACTTCACAGGGTGTATAAGCCTAATGGGATTCAGCTAATGACACATTATTCATGTATCAGACTAGTGGGCAGGAATCTTTTGGAGGAGGGTGTGATTGTAGGAGTATCATGGAGAGCAACAAGAGGAGGCCTGAGGACTGAAATTCACTTGGATCTACACTGTGGGTCTGAATGTATAGGAAAGTATAGGGCTTCTGGGTTCCTGGGGGATGGTTGCTAACTGGGGGCAATCAAAGGAAGGATGGATGATTTACAAAGAGAAACAAGAGAAACAACAGTGTGGAATGTGGTTTTAGAAGCCAGAGGCAGAATTTTTCTTAGAACGCCTCAGTTTTATAACACTCAGAGAAAAAAAAAAAAAGTCCCTAGGAAATGGTCTGGAAGGTGGAGAGTGAGAGCACTGTTACCCTGCATAGAATAGTTGAATGTGTTTGAGTTTCTCTGGACAGAGGAGAAGGTCATAATAAAGGGGGCTGCTGCAAAGCAGAGAAAGTCTATTTCAAGCACAGACAGTGGGGACTTGAAAGCCAGAGTGGGTATCACTTTCAAATTGATTATGGAAACACATCTCCATCCCCCACCGCCAACACATATACACTAGCAGTTGGCCCTACTGCAGGTAACCCTAACCTTGCCTGGGTGATATTTTAGTAGAGCAAAGCAAAGTACTGTTCAATACATGCTAGTGAGAAGTGGGAAAGAGCACATGATAGATACAAGATGAAACAGAGTACAGAAAGAACAGACACCTCACCGAAGAAAGCAAGGATAGCCCAGCTGGGTGGAGAATTTGGGACTAGATAACAACTAGCTGAAAGAATCAGAGGGCCCTCTCTGGTGGTGCAACAGGTTAAAGCACAACACTATGACTATCACAGCCCCTGAAGAATGAGTTCAATCCCTGGCCAGGTTGGTGACCCACATGGCGTGGCAGACCTTTCCTGACTCATCCGCTGCTCCCCTCAGCATTGTATTTCCGTCGATCTGCCTGTTATGGTCCCCACTCTGTCTCTGATGAATCCTCTCACCACCCCTGCACCTCTGGCTTGTACCCCAGTTCTGTATGCATAAATAAATAAATCTCTAAGAAAAGAAAAGAATTATAAAGTCTCTTTTCTTTTTCTTGACAGTTTTTCCAGGATCCCTTAAAGTAGTAAAGAGCAGAAAGCAATCACTTAGATGATGATTCTTTATCTGCTCTTGATGCTATTATCTAGTTCTAGATAATAAAGCAAGGTCAAAATCTCATCAACACATCGATTTGCTTTTTAGACTATTTTTGGATTTATAACTTGATTTTGTAATTTCCAAGTAGTTACTTACCCTGTGAAAGCCCCTGTAATTGAATCACAGGCCTGGATTTCCCCAGCCAGTCTACCCAATCCTATTTTAATAGCATTGAACAGACTTTTTTAAGATCCACAGACAAGAAGAATCACATTACTGCCCGTAAACCCAATTCAAATAATTAAATGACGAAGATGCATCCAGTATCCAGTCCACTGAATTGCTCACACCCATTACTTCAGCAGAGATTGGGGAGCTTTGCAAACCCATCTGTAAATGTTTAGCGGTTTCATGTTACACAGGTGGAGGTCACACACCAGCTGAACAAAATGTGAATTGGAGTCTCCAAAAGTCTACTTCCCATTTAAACTTTGGCATCCACCCCTTGATCATTACTCTCCAATAGTAATGATGAAGACCTCATGAAAGGCCTTGAACTCAGAGTCATCATTATAAAATCATGCTTCATTAAGACAAATATTCCCAGAGTAAAAGTAGAACTAGAAGAAGGGAGTACAGGTTTAATTTTCCTATATATTACTGTAACTAAAGCAATGCCTTATCTTCTCAGCAACTCTCATGAAAATAAGCACTACCATTTTTTAAAATATTTACACCAGCCCTTGGAGATTTTTATTACAAGCATGATTCACAGATGAGAAATGTTCCTCTTCTATAAGGGCTGAGAGACTGGAATAAGAAAACCTGAGTAAACTGTCTATACAGACAAATGAATTTGAATGCTTCTTCTGGCCATTCTTAATCATTCATTCACTGATGATTTTCTTTTATATTTTCTGAACTGACTGAATGATTAGGTCAAGATAATCCCTCTGATTTTCATATTGTAGGCATGTAACTAAACAAAAAGTAATTGAACAGTTACTTTTTCCTGTCATAAAGAAATGATATTTCAACTGAGTAGTGAGGTTATATACTTCTAGAAAGTTGAGAGTGAGGATTCATGGAGTCACAGAATACCATATTTAGAAAGAACAATGTATACAATTTATTCCAATCTCTACATTTTATTCAGAGGGAAACAAAAGAAATTTCATGGTTCAGACTGTGATGTAAGCAAGACTCTCTGAATCATCTTCAGGGAAGAACAGTTATTAATTCAATCAGTCTGGATTGAGCATCTCCTGTGAGGCAACCACTCTGCTACGTACTTGCAAATGCAAGAGTGATTAAGACAGACAGGCCCTTGCTGAGGGCCTTCTGGGAGGGCTAACACCAAACATGTGTACTTTACTACTTACTTTACAAGCTGTTCTACATGCACAATTGGGTTTTGTCCTTAGAACCACCCTCAGATCTAAATCAGATTATCCTCTGTTTTCAGATGAGGCAAGTTTCAGAGAAATTTAGTAATTTGCCCAAGATCATACAAAGTTTTAAGGGGGCAGAGCCAGGATATTTGTCTCTTAACTTGTGTTTCTAGTATACCAGAACTCCCTCCAACTAAAATGCAGTGAGGGATACTTGTCCAATGGGCTATTGGACAATGTGGTCCCATAGCCACATTTTTCCAATGGAAAATATATATATATATGGACTACTCAAGGATTTCTGATGTCATTTATACATGATCCAGGCAGGAAAACATAGGTAGGTAGAAGTTTAACAAAACTTTACCAGAGAGCAAGTGACCTTTAGTTACACATTTAGAAAAGTATTTCATTTAAAATAAAAAAGATTTGAGATTCTCCTAGAAAACCTGAAATATCTGATCATAAGAAACTACTTTCTCTGTCATTGAAAAGTCAGTTCACAATTGATGATTCAAAAATATTATGTATCAATTCAAACATGGAGTGAATCATGATTTAAGTGTTTTCTGACATTAACAGTATTGATTACTAAGGCTAAAATGGCAACTTTTTTTAAATTTCATAATAGTCTTGCCCTCTTACACTGAAGAAGGAATGTAGTTAAAATTTTAGCAACAATACCACAAAAATATTTTTCAAAAGTGTATTTAAATGTAATAATGTGTTTAAAATATCTTTAAAAGCACAACATGCATGTATATATACAGATCTATTTGCAATCATAATTTTTCATTTGTAATCATAATATTTTAATTGTATAATAGGAAGTATGGTTGGTCTTTCTCTTTAGAAGCAAACTGGGAAGATTTGTATAGCCCCAAATTATTAGATCTTTCAAGGGTTAACAGGTGATCTTTCTTCTACCTTTTGATCTTGAAGCAGGTGCTGTTTCTAAGCAGACATTACTCAGCTCCAGTTTACTTCACACTTAGTCCAACCTTATAGTTGAGATTGTTCTGATAGTAAAGAGATTAGCCAAAAGAAAGTCTTCTCAGAATATAAGAGAGCCAGGACATGTCCTTACATGAATATTTGAGAAATATAGGGGATGGAGAGAAAATCGTTGTCTACATGGAATGTTAAAAGATGGGTGATGGAGGCCCTCCCTGGTGGCGCAACAGGTTAAAGCACAGCACTATGATGCTAGAAGCAGCCTCTTCAAGAGTTTGATCCCCAGCCAGGGAGGTGTCCCACATTGCATGGTAGACCTCTCCTGACCCACCCACTGCTCCCCTCAGCAGTGTACTTCGTTGATCTTCCTGTCCTGCTCTCCATTCTGTCTCTGGTGAAGCCTCTCATTGTCCCTGTACCTCTTGACTATACCCCAGTTCT